GCCCCTCCGCCCAGCGCCCCGCGGCGCCGCCGCAGCGGGGCCTCGCCGCGGCCCTCGCCGAGAGCCCGCACCGGGGCAGCGGCCGGGCCCGCTGCCCTCCGCCGAAGACACCTCCGGGTCGAAGACTTGATTTTTTTAAAAAAATATTTTCCTCCATTTTTTTTTAAACAATGCTTATTTTTAACTATTTTTAAAGCCTCGTAGCTGGGCTGGGCCCCCCCCAACCTTGAGGCTCTCCAGGGGGGCTGGCGCGGCCCCCCCTCCACCCGCTCGCCGCCTCCTGCCGCCGCTCCGGGCCCGGGCGCCGCCGAAGAGACCCGCCCGCCGAGGACAGCGCCGGGCGGGGGGTGCGAGACGGGCCCCCCCGGCCCCGAAGACGGAGCCGAGCGAAGGATTTTGCCCCCGGCCGCCTCCGGCTTCTCCCCCCGCCACGAAAAACGCGGGGCTCGGCCTCGGCCAGGCGCCTCCATCCTCCCCCGGAGAGACTTCGAGGGTCACCCACAATTTCCTCCTTCTCCCCCTTCTTCTTCTCCTCCCTCCTTTCCCCACGGAAGGATTTTTTCTTTTTCTCTCCTTTTTTTTTTTTTTTTTTTTTTTAACCCGGCGGAGGGTATTTTTGATCTCTCGGCGCGGAGTGTTTCTTTCTGGGCAGGGGGGGTTGTTTCCGCAGGGGGATTTAATCCCCCGGCCGGGCTGCCCCGGGAGACTTTTTCTTGCGGCCTTTTCTCTCTCCAGGAAAACCTTCCCCCCCTCTCCTGCCCCCGCAGATGTTTTTTTTTTATCGGTGGGGGGAAAACTACACCCCAGGAAACCTCCTGCCTGGCGAATTCTTCAGACTTGCTTCTAGCCCTAAAGTTTTTTTTTCTCTCCCCCCCCCCCACGGTTTTTAAAAAATAATTTATTTGGAATATATTCAGCGCAGAGGAGAAGAATCTGATTTTTTAATTATTATTATAATACTTAATTTTATTTTTTTTTTTTTTCCCCTCGGGCCCCGGCAAAACGAGCCCGGGTCGCGCTTCCCACTCCTCCCCCCCCCCGCCTCCCTGCGCTCCTCGGCCCTGTCTCCCGATGACTAAAGGCACGGGAGGAAGAGGAGGGAGGCTGCTGGATTAACTGCCCCCCCTCCTTCCTCCTCCACCACCCTCATCGGATTATTTATTTCCCTACTTCTCCTGCTCGGCATCTGAGAGGAAGGCGGGATGTCAACTGGTTTTTCTCCCCCGGCCTTTTGGGCTTGAT